CTCTCGTCTCTCTCTCTCTCTCTCTCTCTCTCTCTCTCTCTCTCTCTCTCTCTCTCTCTCTCTCTCTCTCGTATGTGTGTGTGTGTGTGTGTGTGTGTGTGTGTGTGTGTGTGTGTGTGTGTGTGTGTGCGTGCGTGCGTGCCTGCGTGCCTGCCTGCGTGCGTGCGTCTCGGGGCTTTGTTTTGAGTGTTAGTGCGTGAGCGTCCATGTGTCGTTTATGTTGGGAAATACGCAAATAAGCCTCATGAACCCATTACCTACTGCGTTCAGAAGGGCATTACGCGTGACGGATATGTAATAACAGTAGTGCACGCAGTGCCATGCGTGAGCACGAAATTGCAATTAAGCCCACCTCGTACGCTCGTATCGCGAAACATCGTAATAAATGTGTAAAGGCATTATACCTGCCCAAGTGGGAAATTCCTAATGAGCACTCCCGCAATTAAACTCGCGGTTAATCACTGAAATGCTTATCTGCATGAACTAATCTTAATGATATAGGTATTGGCATGGTAGCTGCCATTTCTACCACCATGTTATTCTGTGGTCGGCTGGTTCGAAGGGAAAGAACATGTGTGTTGATGAGAGCTTCTTTGCACATGCGTACGCGTGGGTGAGAGTCCTTCTGTGTGTGGCGCACGCGTAGGTGTGTGTTTGTGTGTGTGTGTGTGTGTGTGTGTGTGTGTGTGTGCGTGCGTGCGTGCGTGCGGGTGTGCATACGTGTGTGCGTGAGTGCGTACATGCGTGCGTGGATGGGTGTGGGTGTGTCGACATGCACGCGCCTAATGTAATGTGATACGTGATAGGTAATGTGTGTAAAATGGCACTTTCAGGCGTCTGCATTGTCCGAGAAACTCATTACACGTTCACTTGTTCGTGTCGTTCATCCTCCGAGCAAGCCTATCCATTCTTAAGGACACGTTGTTCATTGATGGCCTTGGCCTCAAAATGGATGTCGTGTTCGTAGCTGACAAGCCGCCCGTGTTTCGGACCGACATTTCGGTGAGGAAACATAATTACAATGACGCCTATTTGCAATGTATGTGCGGGAGTGAAGTTTAGTATAACTAGCTATTGCTAATTTGCCCAACGGGACGGCTTAGCCCAACACAGTAACGGCAGTGTGAGTGCTTTGCAATCAATCAGCAACAATGCCGGTAAATAAGCGAGTTTGATTCCGAAACGCAGGCTACGCGATCGGTTTCCAGCTTCACGAATATAATACGTTTGACTTCATTTCGACCGAATCCCAGGAAATTCGTATTTCATTTCGAAGAGGTCATTACTGTTTCTATGAATGGCTTCCCGTATGGTTATTTTAACTCCGCATTCTCATTACAGCATTGGCAATGTAAGCTGCTGGTGACAGTGTGGCACTACTGCCTGATGGCTAACTACTTCTGGATCCTGATGGAAGGCCTCTACCTGCATAGTCTCATCCTCATGAATGTGTTCACAGAGCGGTCGGGGATCCGCTGGTATACGATTCTCGGCTGGGGTGAGCGAGTGCTTCACGAATCACGCGATACCGACCTAGAACTACTTCGGCGTAGAAAGCTAGACACTCGGTTTACGAAATTCAGCAACACGTGTGTTTACAAGAACTACTGCCGATGATATCTTGCTACTCATCCATCAACACAGCTGCCATTTAAGCAGATACCGTCATTACTGCTACTTGTCCTATATATGTATATATGTATATATATATATATAGCGTAACATGAAGATCCCGTGCCGATTTTTAGACGAAATCATCCCGTATATGAATAAACCACTTCTTTTGTAGACTGAAATGTCTAGAAAACTAGAATGTACGCATAAATTCGGCCCACAGTCGTATCCCAAGTATTCTTATTATGGTATATATACGTACCAGTGTTATATAATCAGGAGTGTATAATATAGATATTATACACTCCTGGTATAATAACACCATACAAGAGCGCGGATTATTTTAACAACATTACGAATGATTGACCTTCGCAATCGCGTCTATCCCTGATAACATTCAAATAAAATAAAGTATTATTAACGTTAAAATGGCGTCGCTATAGAATCGACACGTATCCCGCACACGCCATCTTTACATCGTGGGTGGCAGGGTAGTGGGGGAGATTAGCCACAACCACATAGCCTGGGCGAAATACGTGTAAGGCGTATGGATGTAACCACCGAGCATCCATAAGCATGTGTGACGGCGCCCGTTACGCGATTATAAGAGGTGCTGCTCTGCACTAACATGCCAACGTCGATATGCCAGTATAATCCCATGTTTTTCGCCATAGTGTATATAATACTGGTTGTGTGTCCATCTCCCAGACAATTTCACTCGACTTGCACTATCATGTGCGTATCGCAATATGCACAGCGTTTGCGGATTTGTATTTTATTCGTTGTTCGCCATGCTCGCGATCTTCTAGGGTTGCTTTAGCTTGACTTGGTGTTTTCTCTTACTACAGCTGGTCCCTTGTTCTCCATCGTGCCGTGGATAATCGTGAAATCGCAATTAGCATCGGAGAATCTTGAGTGAGTGATGTGTTTTCACGATTATACTCTACATATTACATTTTACTATGTGCGATGCGCTGCCATCTTCGCATGTCGACAAGCTCCACATTCCGTGGACATGCTTGTTTACGTCTCTAAGTCATTAATATTTATCATGATATATTGCCCGCGTCTACACGAGTTGAAAAAACGAGGTACATCTAACGTTTTTTGTCGAGTCACCATTCTGGTGGCGATGTTAGCCGCCTGTAGCCATATATAGATCTATAGATGTCATATATAGTTAGTCATATAAAGTTATAGTATAGATTCTATGACAGCCCGCATACGTCATAAACTATTCAGTTTACATGCATTCTTCTGTCACGTCGAAAAAAACAACATTTAAACGTTTGGCTCCACACGACGCAAACATTATATATAAAGCGCAGACTATGTTTTTCGTCGGGAAAAAAACTTGTCGCTTCGCGTATCGAGTAGATTCTACTATTCCGCTAACAGATAACTGTCAGCATCCAGTGTCAACACGATGAAACACTCCTGGCATTGCGAGTTGTCATGATAGTTATATATAAGGGTCATGATAGGTATAGAATAAGGCCTGAATTGCAATAAAGCCGGCTTATTTAAGCTCGCAGTTCTCTCTGATGTGTGTAGACACACTAACCCTGAGTTTTTTTGGTGGGGGAGGGGGAATTTTCAACAGGTGACTCGGCTCGTGTTATATTATACTTCTGTGTTCATGTCGGGATTCGTCTAAGTTTTCACCGACATAAACCTTTTTCGATTTTACAATTTAATAGTTTCTAACGAACTTCGCTTTGTCATGTGCTCGATTTATACGTTTATGCTAGATGGAAACCCTATTTTCACTATATTTCTTTAGCAATGTTAGTGGGCTAATAGTATGTAGAGCGTATTAAGCATAGTTAATACGCTCTTGATAATATGTAGCGTGAAAGGCTTGGCATTAAACTAATGCTTACTGCGGCAGATGTGCAAGACCTTTGCGCCTTTTGTCCAGAATGAATGCAAACACACCGAATGCACACCCTGTCGAGTCAAACGCTCCCTAACTAGATTGATCGCGTTTATACGCAAACATAGAGAAAAGTCTAGTTTTTTCATCGCTGAATTTCTCATTTCACGCGTCGTGTCGATTTTTTTCTGTTAAGCGCCTCCGTTTAGCGTACAACTGTTGAACACGACTGCCTGGCCGGATATATCAGTTTAATGATTAATACGTCATTAATAACGGTTGTTGTACACACACGTGCGCGCACACGCACACACACACGCACACGCACACACACACGCACACGCACATCGCCCACTCGCGCGCGCACACACACACACACACACACACACACACACACACACACACACACACACACACACACACACACACACACACACACACACACACACACACACACACACACACACACACACACATACACACACACACATTTATACATATATATATATTGTGGTAAACAGTTATAATAATATTGTTATTATGGTATATAACGTTTATTATATTATATTATCTGTAATTGTCTACTATGTATATGCCGTCTTGCCTCGACAGATGCGAGTTTTTATTCTTATAAGCTTTCGCTAATATTTGACAAAACCTCAGGTAGCATGACTAAAGACTTACTGATAGATCGACCCTGTAATGTATAGTAGGAGATATAACGTTTCTTTACTAAATTATACTTTTTTTTATCTAGATCATCTTCACGTATACCATGTTTAACTATTCGTTTTACAGTCATGTTTGTGCACCTTTGTAGTGCAATAAAGTTTTTATTCATATGTTGTTATGTTGTACTTGATTTGGTATTTATAAATGTGATACTTTTGTGTTGATACTAATATTTTGCATTTATGTATATAGGTGTTGGAACATTAACCATAATGCTACATTCTTTTGGATCATACGAGGTCCTATAACAGCTTCCATATTGGTGAGTAAAGTGACCGCACTTTCTATCTGTGACACACGTTGAATATGGCACTGTACCAAATTCGTGATAATATGAACTAGTTTTATTACTGCCTGATATTGGCTTGAGTCTACATTGGAGCAGTATACATTTCCCCTGGGGTGAATAATGACACATTTGTCATTATTCAGCGCTGATTTCCCGGAATGTGCTGGAGGATTCTAAATGGGTATAGTGCAGAAAAAGGGGTCACGGATCGGCTATGACAGCATGCAAACATATAGCCGTCTTAAGTTTCTGCACCCAGTATAAATGACTTATTTACATGAAAGTCCGATGTAAGCGCAGCATGCATCCTTTGAGGAATACGCGAAAAGAAGAGCGAGAGGCAGATTATTCACGAATAAAAATGCGCGGTGGTGCTATCAGTACGTGCGTGCGTGTTAGCGTGTGTGCGTGCATGTGTGTGTGCGCGCATGTGTGTGGGTGTTCGTGAGCTTAGGCATTGCATGCGTGCCTGTGTTCGTGCGCGATGGTGGTCAGCATTATGCTTTATAGTATATATATGCTTTATAGTATTGCAGTATTATAGATAGCCTTTGTCTTCTCCTATATTAGGTACGGGCAGTGGCATTAACGCTCTCGCAGTGCATTGCGCTTTCAGAGAAACGCGTGTTGGATATGAAACCATACCAACACTAGCTACGAATAGAGCAGCCCGTCATCAAACCCATCCGAATACATGACCACATCGTCACTGTAACACGTCATCTGTGATCGGGTCGATAATTCAGATATTACCAGACATCGGATTATCCTTTCACTCGTTACTTATTCACCGCTCGCCTTAAATTACGGCACAGCCATTATAACGAATCGTTGCAATCGAATAATACCGGTTATCCTTTCAGCGAAAACTTGCTAATGGTTATAGATCTAACGTGGAACAGAGCTGGCGAAACGGGAGATCCGCGTACTATACAGTCACGCAGGTGTTATTTTAAAGATTTAAGAGTCACCGTTCGTTCACTGCGCTCATTTGTCTCGCGTATCGGGGGGATGTTAAAATGGCCTCATGTTTCGTTTGCATTACAGATCAACTTCGTTTTCTTTCTCAACATTATACGAGTGCTGTACACGAAGTTGAGGGATTCCAACACGGCGAACGTGAGAAAATACAGGTATAGGTGCGTACTATCGTAGAGTAGATCGAGAGATTAGCAACACCTACGGGAAACGCGCCAACATGAATTCCTTATATGAACATGATGATGCATGTGAGTGGTGTATTCATGTGTGGCGCGCGTTGCTTCTGGTCGCATGATCAATCGAACGGGGGATGGCGGCTTTGGAGGTTGTATGCAAATGCAAATAGAAACGTAACCTAACTCCTCGGCATTATAACGGGTGCATTAGCGCATAGTATACCGTACCAACCATCACAGATTATATACAAAATTACGCTGAAATCGCTGAAAGTTTGCTGTCACTTCCTCTTGCATCGGATAGTGAATAGGTTAGATCATAATTTCACGGGGTATTTTTGTTATAGTAATGTAATGTAGAACAACATGAACTGGTGCTCACTCTTTTTTCATAATTGTTGTATGTGGCAGAAATATAGTGTGCAATGCGGTAGTCACTGAGATCATCTCTGAGCTTTTTGTTGAGAGATATCAACGCTTACTCTTTAATCAAGTAAAGCGAGGTCAGGAAGCCTATCGTAGGTTTCAATTCCAGCGTGATCACACGTACGACACAATAACCGTGTACTCAAATGCGCCACGTTGCAACCGGGTGCACGTCGCCAGATCTTTAAATAATCGAGTGGGTGTCTTTTATTCTCGTTGGAATTTTTAACTTCCGGCGATGTGAACGTTTTTAATCAAACATGAATAATTAATTAAGGATTAACTATATTTGACTGACTAATACAGAAATGATTCTGTTTTGAAATAGCCGTTTCACGTTATAATAGATGCTTTGGCGGCATGTGTATTAGACGCGCAATACCCCCTATCACGCAGCACCCGCCGCTTTCTTGTACTATTCTGTCTACGGGCTGCCACTTATTGCAACAGTATCATTTTAGATTTATAGCCGCATTGCACACTAAAACTCAGTATGACAGTTTCAAATTACAAATTCGGATCCTTCCCGCGGCTATCGCACACATTAATATTTTGTGACTGATCTCGGATCAATCCGAATTCGTGACCAGAGACGAACAATTGATCAGCATCGATTAACAAACTCGGAACTATTTTACACGAAACTATTCTCGCCAATCTTGACATTGTCTTCATCACTAATGGTCTACGGTAAAAACAATGTAGCCAAGCTGCGATCACCTGGGAGTGATAGCCTAGGGAAGGCTTAGGTTGGGAACGGTCGCACGCACGAGCTTCGTTCCTGACACGTAATGTACTGTAGTTGACGCTTGTTCATAACGGAACTTTCCATTTTTGGCACGCATGCGCAGGTTGGTTGGCCAGATAAGTAAACCCCGCGTATTTGTCAGATCCAGTACAGGAGCTATCGACACTTTGCATATTAAACGGGTCGCGAGCGATCGCATCTGTTGCGTGTGCGTGCGGAGAAGGCGCGCGTGGGGGGGGGCGTATAGGGACGTCTGTGATTATGGCTTCACACTGTATGTGTGGTCATAACGTAGCAGCGTAGCCTCGATCGCCGTCAAATCTACGATAGCTCTTGTATAGGATATCTGTCACAAATGTCGCCATAGTTTTACGCTTATATCGTTTTTCGTGACATTTTGCTTTATTCTTGGTGAAGCACACATTAAGCCTCTTTTCTTTTGTAAACGGCGACATAGCGTAGCTCTTTCGTGTAATACAGTGCTCGAGTAGACTTGATTTGATTCATCTTCATTTTTAATAAGGTAATAGATTCTGCTAGAAGAGTAGCTTTTAGATAACTATTGCATTGTCTATTGCGATTTTGGCAGTGTCAGTGAAAAATTTATGTTGGACCATATATATATATATATATATATAGTTAGTTACTTACTTACTTACTTACTTGCTTACACTTACTTAGCTAGTTAGTTATATCGTCGAAATTATTAAGTGTATCTCACGAATTACTTTTTCATAGATGAAAATAAAAGCAAACACGACTTCCATGCGTATGATTATTATTATAATTATTAATTATTATCATTATCATTATCATTATTATTATTACTATTATATACAAATATTTCTAACGCATGTAGCATGAGCACATGACTTGCTAGGCAGATAATTTATTTCATATAGTATGAGGCTCGTGGTTGGTAACACCAACCCGCCTGTATTACTTTTCCACTCTTGAATTTTTCATCGGCTTGATTAACAATGTGCACATGTACGTGGATATCGCTCTAGGTTTGTTGGTAAATATTCATGTATGTCATGCTTCATTTCTATGTACTGGCACGCCATAGGGGACGAGAGATAAAAAGAGTTTTCGTCCACTATTCGCAAAACGTGATTCTCATATCTATTCACCGTGTCTAGCCGCCGAGGCTTGTAAAATATTATACGTCACTATGTCGCGTAGGTACGCGGCAGTGTCGCGTATGTTGCAGTGTCATTTCATTCGCGTTCGGTGCAAAACTCTGTGCGTGTTTGCCTTTACAGAAAACTGGCGAAGTCGACGCTCGTTCTCGTGCCACTATTTGGCGCCCACTACTTCATATTCATCGGAATGACTAGCGTGAAGAATGAAGTGCTGGAACTAACATGGCTGTTCTTCGACTTATTCTTTTGCGCGTTCCAAGTACGTGCAGCCGTGACAGTCGGGCTCGGTGGTACCATAGTATTATATGGGGGGGGGGGGGTGCCTTTCTCGGAATAAGTTCTCGTCTCATCGCCGTACCGTCTATATAATGGTCGCATACATGCACAATGCGTTTGTACACGCTAAAATGTTTGCACGCCGCATCGCTCGCAGTGTAAACGGGAAGATATAGATTCCTATACGCGTAGCGTTGCCGTATCATGACAGCGTGACCGATGTGTATTCAGTACCACTATTATAGTCACAACTCCGAGTAAATAGACATACTTTGAATGAGAGGTGCTATGGGCTTTCAGCCGTCGTGCGAGCGTGTTTGTATGTGTGTGGCGGGACGTGTCTCGTTAATGTCACACCTTTTTTGACTGTTGCAGGGGCTGTTTGTATCGCTTTTGTTTTGCTTCTTCAACGGAGAGGTAAGCTATGCAACATGATCGCAAATTATATCTATATATTCTACATTAGCATCTATACGTGAAAGATTGAATTATGCTGTCTTCTTCTTCATAGCGGATAAATGTTTGCGTACCGCCCTCAGTTATGATTCATTCTGGTCGTTACTTGGTACTGCTGACTTGCCACAAAGTGTAGTTTAGGAATAGCACTCATGGCGTCTGCCCGGTATACATTTGAATGACTTCAATAACTGCACGTGCTAATAATTGGTACGGTAAGAGCTAATGCAGAAAGGAAACATCTAAGTAACAACTAGTCTAGGTCAGCTAGTCTAACACTGAGTGTAAATATGCAATAGTCAGCGAGCGCACGGGAATTTCTTTTCTTATAAGTTGCGAAATAAGACATGATAATATTGTCATGTTGCAGTTCAACGTTTAGCGCAAATCTAAGCCACATTTGCCCACATTACTTATATTTAATATGCCGAGTTCGGTGCGAAACTGATGATCAGAAATTGCGGGAATTTATCGAGGATCTTTTTCAAGGTTAATGTCAAACGTGTTTGTTCAGTGCTAGCTTGTTTACACGACCAAGTGAAGTAGCTATGAAGTGTTAAGTCCTACCGATGTCAGACGAATGGGTGTTCGATGTTGCTTTGATCCGTAAAGCTCTCGAGTTTTAATTTTCCCATGCTTTTTTTGCGACAGTCTTTCGTTTGAACAACTTTCGTGTGTTCTGTGTGAAAGCGTACCAATTAGCAATTAATTGTCACATAAAAATTTAATTGGTAAATATTGAATCGTGTTTATATGTGGTTCACGCAGTTCAAAGGAAACGTCTCTGGCAGTTAGCTGGAGGCGGGAATTTACCCCGTGTTCGAAACATCGAGCGCTTCTTATATAGCTGGTGGGTGACTACTTGTCTAATTCAAGACAATAATAAGCTATATTCGCTTTACAATGTAATTACTCTACGCATCGATCCCATAAAGTTTTGTTTATAACTTCCTCATTTCTCTTTCTCTCTCTCTCTCTCTCGCTCTCTCTCTCTCTCTCTCTCTCTCTCATATATATATATATTAATATATATATATATATATATATATATATATATATATATATATAACCAGTTTTCTATTCAGCTTTCTGCCAATTACAAGCCTGGTGTTTTATGTGAGCTATTTATAGCTCATTACGGATTCCGAGTTGCAAAACTTGAATGATCCATCGCCTAACATGGTATACGCGTCCGAGTATAGACGTGATGAGCATAAATGGCTTCATCCCCATCTAGACAGGTTGGCAGTTATTCGTCAGT